GGGTGCTCTTAATCCGCCTTTATGTGCAACACGAACCTCCAAAATACATGGGTGAACTCAAGTATTGTGAATGATAAAGTTAGGAACTTTCTGCTCAACATGTGGCAACCTAGGTTTGAGTATACATGTAATTGCCAACTTGAAATTAAGTAAGTAAAACTTTGATTTGATTCGCCATATTGGCAAACATGTGAAGATAAGATCTGGTGAGCTTTTCGTCGAATATCATGAGGAGATAGTGTTAAAAATATTTGCATTAAGTTCATGAGTTGAAAATTATAAAACAAAATATATTGTTTAACCTTGGACAAAAAGATCAAGTCCAAAACTGGCTGTTATTTGTGTAGGCTACCTTAATCTTGAAGAGTATGCAATTCTAAATCAAGGAGGCGGTAGGCAATTTCCTAATAATATTACAAAAGAACTTGTCACAGATTCTTAACTAAACGTCTATCAGATTAGTAAAATTTCTAATTCACTGACATCTGTTGGACATAGATACTCAAATTGCAGAATCTTATTAGTAATAAAAAAAAATCTGTGTTTTCTGTGACATCATTTTGAAAAATATATGTTTATATTTTATTTATTACACTCTAACTGTCTAACATTTAATTCTGCTCTGATTAGAATTTAGAGTAATTATCGTTTGTCAATTTTCCAAACTTCCCATGCCCCCCTCAGCAGAGTTATTTAATTCTGAATGGAACAAAATGTGAATGAGTTATAAATAATATATAAACGATTGAATATTCTTTATTTAGTTTTTCTTTATTCTCAATTCTTCCAGAGACATGTATATGCTCTGAGAATAATGTCTTTGCATGATTCTTCATAATTAAGTATACTCAATTATTCTCTATGATCCTTCTTTCTATATTTTTGCTTTTCAACTATCTATTTTTTTGTGTCCTTATTTAAATCCCCATTCTTGATTCCAGACTAACTCTCATATATATACGTAAATGTACGAAAGCTTGGCACGTCGAATACGGAAACCCGGAAATCTTTTCCGTGTTGTCGTTTTTATACTATGACCTCAATCCTCAATCTTAAGGCCTGTTGGCACGAATTTTCCCAATGTGCAGGTTTTCTCTTTGGTGCGTTTTCTCGGCGTATTTTCTTCTCTGTGCTTTAATTTAGTATGCGCTGGTTAAGATTGGGATTGAGGAACAGCAGTATCAAATCTGCCTGTTCTGTCAATGTAATGTGCCACTGTTTGTAGTTTGGCTTTTGTCTCTTCGGTGTTCTCGCCGTCTAGTCTCGTTAGCATAGTAGCTAAATTCAGGTTTCTGATCCCGACCTCTTTGGATATTTGTTGTAACATATCTGCTCGTTCGTTCTCATAGCAGGGACACTCCAGAAGGAAATGGTGAGGTGTTTCAGGTGCTCCACAGTTGCAAGATTCTATGCCGTTGGTTTGGCCTACTCGGTTCTTGTAGTAGTTGAGTTCTGTATAGCCAGTTCTTAGTTGGGCGAATATACTGAAATGTCTTTTAGTGGGAAAATCATACATAATTGAGTGTTTCGTAGTTGGTATTTTTTCGTAAAGGTCCCTGCCTCTCTCAGATATTTCCCATCTTCTCTGCCATTTTTCTCCTGTACTTTTATAGGCTGCCTGTTTGACGTCCTGTAGTGTTATGACGTTATTTTCCGGTGGTAGTTCTTTTGCTTCCTGTGCTGCTGTTTTTGCAAGGATGTCAGCCTCGTCATTGCCAGCTATATTGGCATGTCCTGGTGTCCATGATATGATTACATTTAGTGCTTTTTGCCTAAGATGCTCAATGTTTTCTTTTATTTCTCTTATTACGGAGATGTAGCTATTTGGGGCCCAGTTCAGTGTTAGTAATCCCACGGCGCTTTGACTGTCAGAGAAAATTTTGATTTTTTGTATTGTGTTGTACATATTTTCTGTAATGCAGTATTCAAGGACCATGAGAATCGCTATGAGTTCCGCCAGGAGGATGGATCCTCTTTGTGCCACAGGTCTGTGTAGTCTTGCAGCAGGTTTAATGTGTTCAGCATAAATAATTGCTCCTGCTCCACAGGGTCCTGGGTTCCCTAAGCATGATCCGTCTGTGAACGATATTGCTTGTTCTTGTGCGCAATCTCCCATGAGTTGGTTAATGGTTTCCTGGCAAAGTTCTTGTTGCTCACTTGTCCTTGATTTTGAGTTGCCTAGTCGACTCCAATATGAAGGTTTTGATTGGGTCATTTGAGTTTCTCCCAGTCTGTAGGTAAACTCAGGTTCTATGAGATTGATGTTAATCTTCGTCTGTTTGTCCATTTCTGCTGCTTGGCTTAGTGCTTTGCCCATCGGTGTTGGGTACTTGTCATAGGTGTCCTGATCTTCATACCTCACAAGTTGCTGTTTGATGGGTTCCTGTGCAGATTTGGATTTAATCTTTGCTATCTCTTTTATGGCTATTTGTTCTAGCCTAAGGTCTATTGGCATAACTCCTGTTTCGACTTCTAGTGCTTCTCTGCCAGATGTTGTAGGCATATCCATGCATAGGATTAGTGCTTTTCTCTGTACTCTGTCAAGTTTTTGCAGGTCTTTTGGATCTGCTATTTGCCATGCTGGGCTACAGTATTCCATGACTGATCTAACTAGACTGTAGTATAGTTGTAATAGCTTTTCTGTCTTTACTTTGCTAATCTGTCTCACTTCTCTCAGAATAGTTAAATTCCGGTTTGCTCTTTTTTCAATGGCATCTATGTGTTTGCTAAAGGTCATTTTCTCGTCCATAATGATTCCAAGGAGCTTTGGTGTCGAGCTGTATTTGAGTTCTTTACCTTGAATCAGAATACGTTTGTCCTCTTCATCGATTGTCTTTTTTGAGAAGATGCATATTTCAGTTTTGTCCAGGTTGATGTTTACTCTCCATTTCTGAGTCCATTTCACTGCTTTTGTGATGTCATCCTTCATTCTATCCTTTAGTTCTATTATCTGGTCTGGTTTAGCTGTTTGCCAGAGTGTTCCATCATCAGCAAATTTTGTGTAGTCTCCTAGAATATCTCCCAGTAGGTCGTTGATAAAGATGTTGAATAATGTGGGAGCAAGAACTGATCCTTGTGGCAGCCCTATCTTTGTTTCAAATTCTTCGCCTACATAGTTCTCAAAGGTGCATCTTGCCATTCTGTTATTTAGGAAGTCTTTAATCCAGGCCCATGTTTTTCCTCTAATACCCAGATGGTGTAATTTCACTAATAGTCCCTCTCGCCAGATTGAATCATATGCCTTTTCTAGGTCAATAAGACATGCAAGGGTGATTTCTCCTTTATTGAATTTTTCTATCGTGTTTTGGATAAATCTGATCAGGCAGTTTGATGTTGAGTGTTTTTTCCTGAATCCTTCTTGTTTTTCTTCTATAAGCTTCATTCCTTCTATGAACGCTGCCAGCCTGTTAAGAACAATTCTTTCGGTAATTTTGCACATGACACTGGTTAGACTTATAGGGCGGTATGATGATGGTGAGTAGTAGTTGGTTTTCCCTTGTTTCCTCAGGAATTTGATGTTTGCTGTCTTCCATTCCTGTGGTAACCGGCCATGTTTTAGTGTGAGGTTCACCATAGTTCGTATTGCTTCTATGAGGTTTTCTCCTGCAAACTTAAATAGTTCTGGGAAGTGGCTGTCAGCTCCAGGTGATTTACCTATTTCTAGTAGGTATATTGCTGCTTCAACTTCGTCCGTCGTAACCTCATAGTCCAGTTTATGTTCTCTTTTTGTCAATCTTTTCTCCAGTTCACATATTCTTTTGTATTCCTCTTGAGTCTGTTTGTAGAACTCTTCGTCAAATTCATCGGTCTTTAGATGTTTACCCTCAAAAAATGTTTTTTGCAAAATTTTACATTTTTCTTGATTTGAAAAGGCTGGTGGTTCGTCTTGTTCTATTAATGGTAGGATGGTGTTGCAATCTTTCTTTTTGGTCAATTTCTTATAAGTAGTCCATACCTCTTTTGAATTTCTGGATGTATTGATCTGGTCTACTAAGCGTTCACTCCAATCATTCATAGCTTTCTCCTTTTCATTTTCAAACTTTACTTCTGCTGTAACAAGGGCTTCTTTGTTTTGTGGGATGTTTCTCTTCCTATATTGCCTTTGTTTATAGTTTAAGTTTTTCTTTGCTTGGTTAACATCATAATTCCACCATGGAGGTTTAGTTGATTTTTTATCTTTCATCTCTTTTTGGCAAATAACTTCCTGCATTGTTTTGTCAATAGCCGCTTTAAGTGATTGATATACTTCGTCTACATTGTCATTGCTTGGATTATTCAGTAGCCATTCTTCCATGTTCTTTTCAGCCTGTTCTTTCCATTTATTCCAGTCTACTTTGTTAATTTGCCATACTTTCCTTTTTGATGTGTTGTTTTGTTCCTTTTTGCATACATCAAGTTCTGTTAGTATGCATATATGGTCAGATCGTACGTTTTCGTGGGCTAATGTTGAGCAGTTTTGTACTTTATTTTTTGTGCTGGGTGTTATAATTACTAGATCAATGACACTTTTGGTATTCCGTCTTGTAGGCTGGCCATCATTTACACACAGCATGTCTGTTTTGGTCAGGAAGTTTTCAATTATTTCCCCTGCCTTGTTTGTCTTGTCATTGTTCCATTCTAAGCTTTTAGCATTAAGGTCTCCCATTATAATCAATTCATGCTTGTTGTCTTGTTGTACCTTTTGAACTTTGGTTGTTAATTCTTCAAGTTGTTTTGTTTCTTCTGGTGGAATGTAGGGTACTAGCAGATTGAATATGATGTTGTTATCTGTGTGTATGGTAGCTGCTACGCTTTCATAGTTTGTGTCTTCGAAGTCTGTGAATTTAGTGACTGTGAAGTTGGTTTTGTGAGTGTTGATGCAAATAGCCACGCCCCCGCCTTTTCTTCCTTTACGTGGTTTGTCAAACACTTGCCAGTCTAAAAATGTTAATTTTTTATTCTCCTCTTGGTGGGTTTCATTTAAACAAACAATATCTACATCATAACTATTTACAATGACGCAAAATCCATGGACGCTCGTCTGCTGCTGAATTCATGTTTTAAAAGAATGGACAAAGATAGTCAGATAGTTGATACAAAGACCTTTGATTTTTCAAACTGATGGATCAAAAAGTTATTATAAACAGATATATTGAAATGGGTTAGTAACTTACATTGTCGATTAACTGAATCCGGGGAACGAAAGTCAACGCAACGAAAGTATTTCGTTTTGATGGATTACGTACCAACTTATTGTACTTGGAAAGCGCAATGAAATGTAAATATAATCATGCGCATTTTTAGGAAGATGCTAGTGCTATACTTTTCACGAAAAACCATTTGACTTTATCCATGTCATGCATGTATAAACCCGAAAATCAGTCAAAGATTGGCAAAAACGGAAGCAAGTCAACTCGCCCCATTGCAATTGGCAAAACGCCCCATTATTTTAAAATCGCTCCACTCTTGTTTAGGGAGCTACCATTTGATTTTTATCGGGACAGGAGTTTTGAGTAAAAAAATAAAAGCCAGGACCGAAAAGAATGAATAATAAACTGTCAGGACAGATATTACAACTAAAAACAATGCAGGATAACTGTTCATAACATTTTTATCCTAGCCCCCCCCCCCCCACCAAATCAAGTGGTAGCTCCCTTCATACCAACTTGCTTGCCCCACATTAAAAAAAAAGAATCCGGGTCCGTTCGCGCCCAATCACGTTCGCCCCCATGGACATTCACCCCCTTTCACTTTCGCACCCTACACGTTCGCGCCCAATTTTTATTGGTTTTGTGTTTAATAATTTGTAAACAAGTTTTGGTAAGCAGGTAAGTGTATTGCTATAAATATAAATTTTTTTTATTGTTTCTAAATAAATTGAGATTCTGACAAGGTTTTTTTGTGTCATGGTAAATGTATTGCTATAAACATTTTTTTCTTCATTGTTTTTAAACAAAGTGAGATTCTGACGACCAGTATTTTATTTTTGTGTTGAATAATTTTTAATCATGTTTAGGTAAGTGTATTGCTCTATATATATCTATATATAACTTTGTTGTTTGTGCTGTATTTAGACCCTCTACCAAGAAATTAGTTTTGCATGCACACGTATAAAAATTGCAGTTTTTATCTAACGCAATCATAGGTTTGAACGTTGTTTTCAATTTAGACTTGTCTATATATATATATATATAAATTTTTTTTTTTCGTTGTTTCTAAATAAAGTGAGATTCTGACAACGTTTTTTTTAGGTGTTGATAAAATCTTAATCATGTTTTGGTTAGTGTATTGCTATAAATATTTCTTTTTTATTGTTTCAAAAGGAAATGGGATTCTGACAACGTTTTTTTTATGTGTTGAATAATTCGTAATCATGTTTTGAATAGTGTATTGTTATAAATATTTTTTTTCATTGTTTATGAATAAAGTGAGATTCTGACACACATGAGATCAAAGGAGTCAAGCTGTTAAAAACAATTATCTTTCATGTTTTTTATTTAAAATCTTCAAAGTTTTACTCATACCAAGCTAAATACATGCAGTTTTTACATTTAAAGCAAGTTAAAACAACCATGACAACAATCATGATTTTTAAACACTCAACAATAACATCATATTAGGCTGTGTATAAATACCAATTAGCAGTAATCATACATAATTAATATTTAATAACTTATCATCAAATCAATTTAAAACAATATTTCATTTGAAAATTCCCGAATTTTTATTTATGAAATAAAAATATTTTACAAAACATCTAAAAATTTATCAGGTTTTTGAAAAAAAAAAGGATTCGAACGTGTAGGGTGCGAACGGAACTAGGGGGCGAACGTGTATTGGGCGCGAACGGACCCGATACCAAAAAAAAATCGCCCCACTTGTGAAAAGGATTAAATCCTGTTAAATATACAATGTACTCCTGCCAACAGTGGCAACTTGCCTAACTTGGGTAAAATCCAAATGAATATAATCATGATAATATATAATAAATATATTATAAACAGATAAAGGTCTACCAACTCGCCCTACATGTACTTTAAAAAAATGAAAACATCTACCCAGAATTAAAAAAAAAAATGAAATTTAATATATGATATTTATTGAATTTAAATGATGTTTCATTTCTTAAAATATAATTGTAGATTCATTATTTACTATTATTTAATTTATGTATTTATTGGAAAATAACTTTATTCTTGCATTAGCTTAGTTATTTGCAAAATAATTGCAAAGAAACCTGTTAATTGTATCATAATCTATCTGATTGTTTTTTAGCCGACTCAAAATCATGCTGTTAATTAGGGCCCCCTGTTGTACATGTACTTAGGAATCGGACACCTCCAGAAGATGAAAGATCTACTTTACATGTACGTAATGTAAATATAAAAATAAGAAAATGTGGTATGATTGCCAATGAGAAAAGAGAGGAATTGGTAAAAGTCCGTGAAAATTCACTTGTTTTCCAATCCTAATAAAACTGTCATATTGTAATGTTTAAATAACCTAATTATTTTCAAAATAAAATCTTGTTTACACTAATGAGAAAAAACAACTCTCCATCAGAGATTAAATGACATCAAAGTTAACAACTAGAGGTCACTGTACATCCTTCAACAATGAGCAAACCCCAAACCATATAGTCAGCTATAAAAGACCCCAAATGAAAATGACAAATTTGTAAAATAATTCAAACAAGAAAACTAGCAGACTAATTTATATACAAAAAGAACAAAAAAAAAAAAAATATGATACACAGCAACAAACGACAAACTGAACCACTGAATTACAGGCTCCTGACATGGGACAGGCACATACATACAAATATGTACAGGATGGGGTGGGGCTAGACTAGTAGTTTGTGGTGCCGAACCCACCTCCTAACCTGGTATATTGATGTGAAAAGGGCTTAACTCGTCAGATCTATACAAAGTAGAAAGACATCTAACAAAACCACACACAAGACGTGGTGGGTACTTACACATCCCCACAACAAAAAAGACCCAAGTTCAGATCTGAGAGTACTCCCAGTTTCTAACACCTCGTTCAAAGCCAAAAACAAAGTACATTGTACATGTACAATGTATTTACCACCAAACCTTGCCTGGTTTAGTCCATTTCTCAGATACTACCTTATATAAAATAGTCCAACTTTTGGTGTAATTTAAACAACTTTGAATGACTTAAAATTTCAAAGTATCATGATTATTAATAACTTAATCCCCAAAGATTGGCATTATAAATCATGACAGATTCAGAGATACTGTACATGTAATCACTTTTGTTCATCCCTTCATTCAAGGGTCATATGGAATTTATATGATGGTTTGGACATTAATAAAATGATTAAATACTTTTTTGTAGTCATTTTTTTTTCAGGGAAAGTTTATTGGTCTAGTTTTAAAAGATCAAAGCAAGCCAATTTTGCCAGATCAAAATATTAAAGGCAATTTTGGCAGATACATTGTATTATAACTTCATTTTATTAAACATTATTTATTTTAGCTTTTTCAACGAAAGTACAATTACTTTGAGAAGTAGGAGAAGCTAAGCAACAGGACAGAATTCATTTGAGGCATTGCTTTCTAGATTATATAGTGGAGTCATAGATTGTCCTATTGATTTATGTGGATATGAGGAGCAGTAGTCAATGAATAATTTTGTGATGAGAGGTATGTAATGAAAATGATAACTATGTTTGAATAATTTTTTCTTGTCAGGCTCTGTACATGCAGTTTCGAAGATTTTTTTAGAAGTTTGAGGTCAAAGAGTTTAAAGTTTGATTCTTGTAATGTTGTGGGCAAGTTCGAAAATTATCCATGTTAGAAGTGACAAATTAATTTTTTTTACAGGTCATTTTTATAGAAAATTGCATTCAAAGCTCTCTTAATCGCTTGTTCTTTTTTGTCTAGCCACAGCAGTTATGAAGCTGTGACTTAGGTATGCTGTTTTCAATAGAGGCATAGTCTTAAAAAAATTGTTGATATTCATGATGAGGTCAGTTAAAGGAAACCAAGAAATAAAACCTTTGCACCTTTTGTTGGCGGTATACCATCTTTTCCGCAAGTTCATTGTTTTCTGTTTAGTATTAAATTTATAATTAAGATTTATTATTACATCGGTGATCCGTTTATTTGGCAATTTATACAGGAATAATGTCACTTTGAAATGTATGAGTTAGAAAGTAAGTGCTATTAAAATTTAGGTTTACAGAAGTTATTCCGTGGAAATATATATTGTTTAATGTAATGAAAATTGCATTGCAAGCAATCCCAAACAGGTCCGAGTACACAGTTATTTCGTAGTGCATTTCTTTTAGACAATAAATGAAAATTAAAAAAATCCCACCTGCGCTTTCTCAATAATATTTTTACAGTGTGTTGTACTACTTTTGGGATAAATTATATCAAAATTATAGAAAACTTCATCGGCTCTAACTCAAAATATGGACAATTTCATGCTAAGGGGGTCTTCAAATCTTTTGACAGCCTCCGAAGTGCTAATTTTTAACATTTTTCAGCTGGACCAAATCACTACTTTACTTTAAAATTCATGACCCAAATTTTTTTACAGTGTCATTTCACCCCCCTACTTACTATTTGAGTCATAAAACATGGAGAAATAAATTCGGAAGGGGTATAAAAAAAATCGACAAGTAACACACTGTCCACACTAGGGACTATATTTGTGGACAACGAAAATCAAAGGACGATAACTGTGTACCCGGACCTAATAGGGTAGAAAAAGTCGACCAATCTTCATGAAACTTGGTATGACCAAAGCTTATTAAATTATAAGACTGCTTACAAAGTTTCATGGCAATAGGATATATATTATAGACAATATGACTAATTCTATATTCAACTTTGAGTGTTAAATTTAGACGTTAAAATTGAAAATTTTCAACTATCAACATTTGGGGCTTAAAAAATTAAAATATTGCAAAAAAATACTTTTGAAATGCCTTAATATATAATATATTATGTATTAAAAGCAATAGAGTACTCATTTGATTTATCAGACTTATTATAATTATTAAAAAGTCAAATTTATATGAGCCTGTGGCTAAAAATGGAGGTTTTCCAATGAAGGGGGGCCTTACATGAAGATGTAATATTTTCCAGCAATTTTAAATTTGTAAAGCTTTTTGGTTATAAATAATCCTTACATATGTATTTAATGTACTTTAAATGGAAAGAAAACTTACAAATAACATATCACATTAGTTTAAAAGGGTCTTAGGCCAAGTAAGACTGAAAATAATTTAGGGTCAATTTAGGCCGTATCACATATTTACATTTAAAAATGCATATTGAAGCTATATGAAATAAAATTTTGTGTCTTTTCTATCATTTCTATACTCAGGTGACATGATACAATAAATCTGAGCACAAAAAGACTCTTGCATTCAACTTTTTTTGCAGACAGTATGGTCTGATACAAAGATTTTTCACTTTTTAGTGAAAAACATGCATGCAATTTTAGTCTCAACAGGCTTATATTTGAACCACTTGCTATCCTACAGAAGAAAAGAAAGATATTATGTGACATAAAACAGGCACAAAAGACATTGTTAAGTGCTTTTTATACAAATTTAGTGAGGTCTTTATAATGGACCTCAACTTTTATGTTCCAAGCTCCTCACATTTAACTTGATCCAAACAGGGCGTTAGACGAGGACCATATATACAACACATTTTGCACATATTGTCTGAGATAATCTTCTTTTCTGTAGATTCAGAGTTCACAAATGAGTAATACAACTGGATTGAAGCATAGAAACACAAATATTGACACATAAAAACCTGTCAGATAGAAAGTCAGAATGCCACTTATGCATCAAAATTGAAAAAGCTATGAAATGCTTATTTTGACCATAAAATGCCAAAATTGGTCATTTTTGCAGAAATTCTATCAAATAAAAGTTTAAATCCTTTAGTTTTATGCTATTTGATAAATTGACACCATCAAATCATTTAGGGAAGCTGCCAAAGTACAGATTCTATATTTCCAGATTTCACCTCTTAGGTCCGAGTACACAGTTATTTCGTAGTGCATTTCTTTTAGACAATAAATGAAAATTAAAAAAATCCCACCTGCGCTTTCTCAATAATATTTTTACAGTGTGTTGTACTACTTTTGGGATAAATTATATCAAAATTATAGAAAACTTCATCGGCTCTAACTCAAAATATGGACAATTTCATGCTAAGGGGGTCTTCAAATCTTTTGACAGCCTCCGAAGTGCTAATTTTTAACATTTTTCAGCTGGACCAAATCACTACTTTACTTTAAAATTCATGACCCAAATTTTTTTACAGTGTCATTTCACCCCCCTACTTACTATTTGAGTCATAAAACATGGAGAAATAAATTCGGAAGGGGTATAAAAAAAATCGACAAGTAACACACTGTCCACACTAGGGACTATATTTGTGGACAACGAAAATCAAAGGACGATAACTGTGTACCCGGACCTAATAGGGTAGAAAAAGTCGACCAATCTTCATGAAACTTGGTATGACCAAAGCTTATTAAATTATAAGACTGCTTACAAAGTTTCATGGCAATAGGATATATATTATAGACAATATGACTAATTCTATATTCAACTTTGAGTGTTAAATTTAGACGTTAAAATTGAAAATTTTCAACTATCAACATTTGGGGCTTAAAAAATTAAAATATTGCAAAAAAATACTTTTGAAATGCCTTAATATATAATATATTATGTATTAAAAGCAATAGAGTACTCATTTGATTTATCAGACTTATTATAATTATTAAAAAGTCAAATTTATATGAGCCTGTGGCTAAAAATGGAGGTTTTCCAATGAAGGGGGGCCTTACATGAAGATGTAATATTTTCCAGCAATTTTAAATTTGTAAAGCTTTTTGGTTATAAATAATCCTTACATATGTATTTAATGTACTTTAAATGGAAAGAAAACTTACAAATAACATATCACATTAGTTTAAAAGGGTCTTAGGCCAAGTAAGACTGAAAATAATTTAGGGTCAATTTAGGCCGTATCACATATTTACATTTAAAAATGCATATTGAAGCTATATGAAATAAAATTTTGTGTCTTTTCTATCATTTCTATACTCAGGTGACATGATACAATAAATCTGAGCACAAAAAGACTCTTGCATTCAACTTTTTTTGCAGACAGTATGGTCTGATACAAAGATTTTTCACTTTTTAGTGAAAAACATGCATGCAATTTTAGTCTCAACAGGCTTATATTTGAACCACTTGCTATCCTACAGAAGAAAAGAAAGATATTATGTGACATAAAACAGGCACAAAAGACATTGTTAAGTGCTTTTTATACAAATTTAGTGAGGTCTTTATAATGGACCTCAACTTTTATGTTCCAAGCTCCTCACATTTAACTTGATCCAAACAGGGCGTTAGACGAGGACCATATATACAACACATTTTGCACATATTGTCTGAGATAATCTTCTTTTCTGTAGATTCAGAGTTCACAAATGAGTAATACAACTGGATTGAAGCATAGAAACACAAATATTGACACATAAAAACCTGTCAGATAGAAAGTCAGAATGCCACTTATGCATCAAAATTGAAAAAGCTATGAAATGCTTATTTTGACCATAAAATGCCAAAATTGGTCATTTTTGCAGAAATTCTATCAAATAAAAGTTTAAATCCTTTAGTTTTATGCTATTTGATAAATTGACACCATCAAATCATTTAGGGAAGTTGCCAAAGTACAGATTCTATATTTCCAGATTTCACCTCTTAGGTCCGAGTACACAGTTATTTCGTAGTGCATTTCTTTTAGACAATAAATGAAAATTAAAAAAATCCCACCTGCGCTTTCTCAATAATATTTTTACAGTGTGTTGTACTACTTTTGGGATAAATTATATCAAAATTATAGAAAACTTCATCGGCTCTAACTCAAAATATGGACAATTTCATGCTAAGGGGGTCTTCAAATCTTTTGACAGCCTCCGAAGTGCTAATTTTTAACATTTTTCAGCTGGACCAAATCACTACTTTACTTTAAAATTCATGACCCAAATTTTTTTACAGTGTCATTTCACCCCCCTACTTACTATTTGAGTCATAAAACATGGAGAAATAAATTCGGAAGGGGTATAAAAAAAATCGACAAGTAACACACTGTCCACACTAGGGACTATATTTGTGGACAACGAAAATCAAAGGACGATAACTGTGTACCCGGACCTAATAGGGTAGAAAAAGTCGACCAATCTTCATGAAACTTGGTATGACCAAAGCTTATTAAATTATAAGACTGCTTACAAAGTTTCATGGCAATAGGATATATATTATAGACAATATGACTAATTCTATATTCAACTTTGAGTGTTAAATTTAGACGTTAAAATTGAAAATTTTCAACTATCAACATTTGGGGCTTAAAAAATTAAAATATTGCAAAAAAATACTTTTGAAATGCCTTAATATATAATATATTATGTATTAAAAGCAATAGAGTACTCATTTGATTTATCAGACTTATTATAATTATTAAAAAGTCAAATTTATATGAGCCTGTGGCTAAAAATGGAGGTTTTCCAATGAAGGGGGGCCTTACATGAAGATGTAATATTTTCCAGCAATTTTAAATTTGTAAAGCTTTTTGGTTATAAATAATCCTTACATATGTAT